ACATACACACGTACAAGTGGGTATGCACCCATTCACATATATGCATATATATGTATGTGTATACATATATGCATATATATATATATATATATATATGTGCGAATACACCTTTAACTCTAGATGCGCATACATACATACCTACGTGTACACACATCTAAATGTATGTATACACATATGTGCATTGGTATCCATGTGTATGTGTCCACGCATATTTGTATATGTATAATTGCGAATGTCTGTATCCATGTAATACATATGTATACATATGTATATAGAGAGAGTCCCCGTAACTTGTGCCCGCGTGCGCAAGGACTGTTGTTATCACTATTGCTTGTCTGCTGGTTGCTGTTGGGCGTCTGATTCCCCCAGCGGGTCATATCTCCTGCGCATCCCTGCACGGCGGAGACAGTTTGAGGTTGTGTGTACAAGGACTGAGAGATGTTCTAGAGTACATCGCCAACCGAGTCGTTGCGTTGTCTTCGTCGTCGTCGTCTCCATACGGGTGTCGCGCAAGTCATTGTGTGCAGTAAGAGCTCGCCATCTTTGTGCTGGACCTTGTCCGGTGGTAGCGCAAATACATACCACGCACCTCGTACATTCTGCTGCCCCATAATGATGATACGGCGGAGGCCTGAGCGCTGGCCGCCTCGGGGGGATAATTATTTGCCAAGTCTTGTTGGGGTCCCAATCCGCCAAAAAGCCCGCAGAGAAAGCACACTTCCCCGTTATTGTGTGAGAGTGTGAAACCTTGTCGTGGTTAGAAGTGGTTCAGGTTAGTCGGAATAATATTGAATCCCACGTAGACCTCATAAGCAATCAATAATCAATCGTCAGGCAGTTCATTTTTGAGGTACTGATGGCTAGTGCTGGTGCGTCGCTTTTTGAACGCCCACTGCTGCTAGCAGCAGCGCCCTGGCCTAGGGATCCATCGAGTGGATCTGGAGTAAAACTTGAGCTCCCCCCCGCAACCGTGGTGGCCCAGGGTCCCCTCGCGGCCCCCCGGCACCCGCGGCCCCCCACGCGGACGCGCGCCCTTCTTCAGGACCCCATCCTTTTGTTAACCGCCGACGAAGGGCACAGGGCAAGGGCTGCCCGAACCGCGCGCCCCCCGCGCCGAGCGCTGGCGGCCTTGCCTCGGGATGCTGCGCGGCGGCGCGGGCGCTCGGCGGCGAAATCCGAATCCTGTCCTCGCCGATGAACGATTCAGGCAGCTCGACGGGCGGCGGGGCTAGGGGGCGGAATGCTTCTGAACACGTGGCGGAATCCGAGCTCCACCCCCGCTTCCCATCGCTGCAGGAGCATCGAGGGCTGGTGTGGGTCGGCTTCGGATGTCGCCACCCAGGCGCCCGCCTCGCCGTGGGCCGCGCCCCCGCCCGCGGGCGCGCCCGTGCGGCCTGCACGCGGGCGCCCGCGGTGCGGACCGCGCACAGCGCGAGGGGGGCACCGCCCGCGGCGCGGCGCGGCCCCCTGGGGACCCGCGGCGGCACTGCGGCGCCGGCCAGCGGCGGCGCGGCCGCGCGCGGAGCGGCCGCGACGCGGGGCGCGATCGGCGGGCAGGGGTCGCGGGTGTTGGCTATCGGCAACACGGTCGTCGACACGATGCTCACGATGCCGAGGATTTGAAGGGCCTGCCGTTGCCCCGCCGACCTCGGGCGCGGGGTTTTCCTTCGGTAGCAGGTGACGGAAGCCCTGTACGTCTTCGGAATTCCGCTTTCGGTGGCGTCAGTCGATAAGACAGCATGCGGATTAGCGTATATTAGCGTAGATTAGCGTCGATGTGCAACAGCTCGTCAGATATAATGACAGGCCCCCTCAAGTTACCACGAACGAGTTAGTGTGCTGCTGGGTGTCTCGGGATCATCAGGGGCAAGCTTTGGAGGGAGATGGGATAGGCCCAAGGGGGCCGCATGACCTCCAATCGCCCATTCTTCGCCGATGAAGGGCCCGATAGCCCACCCGGCCCGGGAACGTGCGGACTCAATACCGGGAGCCTATCATCATCGTTTTCGTCATCATCATCAGCAGCATCTTCATCTCCGTCTTCATTATCATCATCATCATCATCATCATCATCATCATCATCATCATCATCATCATCGTCATCATCATCGTCGTCATCATCCTGATCACCGTCAGTCGTCGTCACCACTCCCCGTGATCCCCATTTTCATTAGCAAAACCAGCAATCATGCGCAATGTGAGGACGTCTCGGGCGAGAGCCTTGTCTGTGAGCAAGTTGCAGGGAAGCCTTGGGCGGAAGCCTCCCTATAGTGTCTCCACCGTCTGTTTCCTTAGATCTGTTTGCCAGCGTGGGCCCCACGCAGTGTGTGTGTGTGTGTGTGGCAATGAGTGTTGCGCTATCGACGTGGTGGTGAACATGTACTGTTTAACACATGTGGCGCAATCTCTGTGGTGTGGCCTAGAGTGTGCAATCCATGCTGTTCAATACAGGTCATGTGATCTATGTGGCGCAAGCAATGCTTTCCAATCTGTGTGGTGCAATCTCTGTGGTGTGGCATATGTTATGCAGTCCATGTTGTTCAATCTAGGTCGTGTGATCTATGCCGTACACTAGGTGGGGCATTCGTTGTCCAACCCGTGTGATCCAATACAGGTCGTGCAAACTGCGTGGTGTAATCCAAGCGGTATGGTGCAACATGTATGTGTATGCATGCATGTGTTTGTATGTCTGTATGTATATATATATATACATATAAATGTATATGTATGTGGGGTGGCATGGGGTGCGACCTCTCTTGTACACTACACGTGGTGCGATCTACGCTGAGAATTCTGCGTGGTGCAAACAATGTGGTGCGATATCCATGTTGTGAAATCTTTGTGGGGCAACCTATGTGGCGCGGTTGGCTACACTGCACCGCGCGTAACCACCTCCCATGCTCGTGCAAACATCCCACCCTCGCACCCGCAACTTGGCTGGCAAAACTCATGCTGAGGCAACGCCTGCATGCCCGATGAGCCCCAGACTGCACGGCCGCGCCGCGCTGAAGGAGCCCATGCTGCAAGACGTGCGGAAGAGATCCTGGTTGCCCCGAAACGCCCCTGGGGAGGGGTCCTTGCGAGCCTTTTAGCAAGACTACTTTTGGCACGCGCCTCAGCTGTCGCCCGCGCGGATGGAGGAGACCACGAGCTGGAGGGTGGAAGGAGGAGCGAAGGACACAGCGAGCAGGGGAGAGCCACGCGGAGGGAGATAGGACGAGGGCAAGAAGAGCACAGGCGAGAGAGAGCAGCACGGTATATGATATCGTTGCAGGTTGGCCTTGTCATCGACTGGAGCTCCCATAGCGTGCGTGCCCCTGCTCATGTCCCCTTCTCCCACCATCCCGCTTGACACACGGAGGGGTGGGGCATGTCCGGGGTGGGGATGAAGACGCCGGGCAGCGACCTTCTCCCCCTCGCATCCGCCGCAACCGCCTGCCGCTCGGCCTGACCTGCCCTTGAACCTTCGTGAGCCATTGGGCAGCTTGTCCCGCTGGGCATTCGCGCGCGAGCCCCACGGGAGCGCCTGCCTGCCTGACACCTCCCCCCCTTCTTCCTCTTCCCCCTCCTCGGAGGAGGAGGATGTGGGGCAGCCGCAGGACATGGATGCGAGGATCTGGAGTGCGATCTCGAGGAGGTGGACGAGGATGGGGATGGTTACGAGGGGGACGACGATGAGGGGGGATCAGGAGGATAATCAGAACGAGGATGACGAAAAGGGATGACCGCCACGAAACTCAGCACGAGGATGGGGTGGATGACGGTGAAAAGGAGGAAGAGGACGAGGGGGGCAGTGCGAAGGACATATATATATACACATACATACATACATACATACATACATACATGCATGCATGCATGCATGCATGCATGCATGCATACATACATACATACATACATACATACATACACACATACATGCACACACACACACATATACGTACATACACAGACATACACACACAATCACATGTACACATGTAAATACATACACACGTACATACAGACGTATACATGGGGGAACATTGGAGACGAGTCGTGAGGAAGAGCACGGAGATGTCCATTGTTGTTGTCGTCGAATTCCTTCGCCTCCTCATCCTCCTCATCCTCGCCCTCATCCTCTTCCATGTGTGCCCCTCCCTCATTTCCTGATTCCCCCCTTCCTCCCCCTCCTTCGCTTTCCCCACCTCTTTTCCTTCACAAGCGCAAACGCCACGAGCACAGCGACGACGACGCTAACTCTCATGCCAACGCTCGAGGTTTCCACGCGGGGCCCACCCACTAGAGTATAATTCTGTGCCTATGGGAGAACTTCGCCGCGGCTGTATGCCGCTCGTGTAACTGGCCAGGATGGACCCCAGAAGGGTCCTGGGGCCAGTTTTAAGCGGACCTCGGCCCCCCTGGACAAGCCGTCTTCTTATGCTACTTCTGCCGGAGCCGTCTCCCGGGGCCGTCGGAGAGGCCTTGCCTTGGTTGGCTCCTCGGGGGCATCCTTGCGGTTTCGTCGGTCGCCTCGGGGCGGCCCTGAGCAGGCTCCGTGGACAGGCCACGGTGTTTCATGCAAAGGCGCTGTAGGCACTGCGATTGTAGGTGGGATTTGTCTGTGGCCGAACCTATTGCGGGAAAGCGAGGTCACTGTTTCCATGTATTTCGTTGCGCCTTCTTCGTGCGATTCAGTCGCACTTTTGCAATGCAGGAGCGCGTGGTTCGTGATTCTGTACACTGTTTCTGCGCGCGTTAGGTGCCACAAAAAGCCGCGTCCATACCACGCCGTTAACCTACTACGCCGTTCGCCCAGCCTTCGAAGCTTGTGGCTTGGGGGCGTCCTGCGGTTTTGAGGAGAAGGCGCTTCGAGGCCGCTCCGCGGCTGTGCAACCTCAGGACGCAGGCGACATCTTTGGGGCCCCAATTGGGGGCGGCGGGTCCCCCTCGACGACAAGATCTTCGTGGACTCGAAGCTGCGATACATCGGAGGGCAGGGCGCCAACGCAGCGCAGTGCATGGCCCTCCTGGGCCTGGGCGTGTCCTTCGTGACTCGCGTCGGCGACGACGCCGACGGGAGGTGGGCGCGGAACCACTACGAGGCCCTCGGCATGGACACCTCCCGCTGCCTCGTGGTGCCCGGCGCGCTCACCACGTCCGCCTGCGTGGTGGTGGAGCGGGAGACGAGCAGGCGGACCTGCCTCATACACTGCGACCGTGCGCTCTTCGCGAGCCCAGCCGCCCAGGCGGCGCCCATCGACTGGCGCGGCATCGGCGCCGTGAACACCGACGGCCACGATCCCGCGCTGGCGCTGCCGATCGTGCGGGCCGCGGCCGCCGCCGGTCTGCGGATCTTCTCCGACATGGAGGTTTGCGACTGCGACCGGCGCGAGCTGGCCAGCCTCGCCACCGACCTGGTGGCGCCCGCGAGGATCCTCCGGGAGCTGGCCGGCCAGGGCACCATCAGGGCCCCGGGAGCCAGGATGCCGCAAAAGCAGGACTTTGAACACTGCGGCTCGAGAGTGGGAGTGCGCGGGGGATGCTTCCACCGACGGCTGCAGTTTTCTGTGGTGCGCCACTGTCCTGCTTTACCGAAAGTCTCCGTTCAAGGGGCCCTGAGCTGCGGGCAAGATTCATATCCATATCCAATACCTGTTGGACTGTCTTGGAAGGGGCGCTACAAGGCCGAGGCGCACTGGATACGGATAAAGATCGAGCCTCTAGGGGCCTGACTTTTATCAATATCCAGTGCGCCTCGGGTGTCTGGGGAAATGAGCCCGAAACTCCAAGCTCCAGCGGATAGGGACACAAGTCTTGCCCGCAAGAGCACAAGGGAGGCGGTGTTGGCATTGGCCAGTGCGAGCCCAGGCCGCACGGTGGTCGCCACGGAAGGTGCGCGGGGCTCCGTGGGCGCGAGGCACGGGGACCGCGATGTCTGCGTTGTGTCCGCCCTCAGCTGCGACGTCAGGGACACCACCGGCGCCGGGGACGCATTCGGCGTCGCGCCGAGGGGGGAAATCGGCCGCGCGTCTCGAAACAAAAAACGAGACGGAGGTGTTCATAGTCGTTGGCCTCTCGGGCCCCGCACTGGGCTTTTGGGCCGTTGAAGAGCTGCTCGTCGTGAAAAGCCGGCCCAGGGGAAGTGTCGAGAGGGCGGGGCTCGTGTCTCGGAGAAGTCGAGGCGCCGGATGTCTGGGGGCGGGGGGTGCTGGATCATTCGCTGGAGTGCCCTGGGGTGCGGGCCCACTGGGGTCCCCCCAGCGCTGGCCTGCGCGCTTGGATCCGACCTTCCGCAGCAGAGGATATATGACAGACGCCCTCTGATAGACTGGTCCTGGGCCCCGGGGGAGGGTGGCGGTGTAGAACTCACAACTGAGAGTCAGCGAATTTATACAGCGCCGCCATCCCTGCAGGTTGATTCAAAGTTCGTCGGATGGCGTCTGTGTGTATACTTTTGTGTGGCGTAGGCACGCGCGCGGCTCCTGGAAGCCACGCACCAGAGGTCACTCCTGCCCACGGTCACTTTTGCGCGTCGGCGAGGAAGCGGCAGGGGCATGCCAGGCCCTCTTGGACTGACGGGGCCTCTCAGAAAACCTGCTGCCCCCGTGGGAAGCTCTCCGCGGCTTCGGAGGGTCAGAGGGGGAAAAGGTATCCATGCCGCTTCTCTCCGAAATCCTGGTCAGAACGCACCCTGGGAGAAGTCCGAGGAGTAGAGAGCCAGTGGTGTACCTTGTGATTTCTCCAGGGAAGGCCCCGAGAGTAACTATCTTTTTGGCCTCTCCAGAAAAAGGCTCAGAGGGCTTCCCAGGAGGCCAGCAGCCTTCCGAGTCTCCCGAAGAGGCCCGCCCCCTATCCCCTGCTCCCCCCCGGCGCGCCGCCGACGCCTACCATGCGGGCTTCGTCGCCGCGTTCGTGCGGGGCATCTCGGGGAACGTATGGCCAATACCATGACCATGCAGCTTGGGGGGGCCCGCGCTGATTTCTTGGATCGGTCCGGACCCCCCTCCCTGGCGCGGAGTTCGCCCCTTCGAGGATTGAAGGAGTGGCCAGCTCTTCCTCGGCGGAAGCCGGCGGAAGAAGACGAGGCCGCCTCCGCCTGCGGAGGCTGGCGGAAGGTCTGCGGAGGCCCGCGGAAGTAACAGTTGCGCCCCCAAGAGAGGACATCCATGCTGGGGCTCAGGGTCTCTGGAATATATCTAAGGGCGCCCTCGAGGGCGCGAAGCTATTCGCGCTTCGCGCTTCGGCTCCGATTCCTCCTCATCCTCGTCTCCTCCCCTGGGAGGCGGCGCGAAAGCGCGAAGTTATTCGCACTTCGCGCTTCGCGCAGCGCGAGGCGCGAGGTTCGGAGCCCTTTACTATCGGCCCTTTTGTTCCCCGGTCATCGTGGACCTGCGGCAGACGATGGAGCTGGCCACGCGCGCGGCCGCCGCCGCGTGCGAGACGCCCGGCCCCGTCGCGTCGCTGGAGGCGCTTCGGAGGCTGCGCGTCGCCGAGTAGGGGCGGCGCCTCGTCGTTGCGCGCCTGCCCTGCTCCCCGGCGTTCCGGCCCCCTCGCCCCTCTCCCCTGAAGGGCTTGACGACCTCTGCCAGAGGAGGAAGAGGGTACCAACACGGCGACCTCTGGCCACGTTGATGCCCTTGCCTCGTTTTCGCATGTTTGGGCCTCCTGGGAGGCCCCCGTCGCCACCGCTGGAGTCGCCTTGAGATCCTGGTCAGAACGCACCCGGGAGAGGTATGGGGAGTAGCGGTATGGGGACCTTTTTGTTTCCTCATTCTGCCATCATTCGGCCCGCGATGAGGTGTCCACGAGCTGCTCCCCCAGATTGCTGGAGATCTCTGGATTTCTTTGAATTTACCTGGGCGTACGTGGATTTATCCGGATTTGCCGCGATTTACCGGCATTTGCCTCGATCTGCCCGGCTTGTTTCCCACAAGTCGATCGGCGGACGGTCGGCAAGACTCGGCGCTTCCCTTGCGGTCGGATGGGACCTCCCCTGGCGCCCCATCCGTTCGTTCCGCCCGACAAACTCCTGCTTCTCCCTCCTCGGTCCTCTCGCGAGGGAGGGGGCCAAGGCCTCCAGCGCCTTGGGCGAGACGTGAGACAGATGATCTGACTGCAGTCTGTCCGGCAGCAAAGCATGAGAGCCTCGTGTGCCATCGCGAGTCCGTCTCTATAACCTGCATTCGCGTGCGCTAGCGTCTGGCAATCGATGAGCAAGCGCCGATGTAGCACCGATGTAGTGTCGATGAGCGTCGGGTAGCGTCCTTTCGCGGCGATGAACGTCGGCGAGCGTCGATTTGCAAGAGCCATCAAGAAAACATGGGAGGCACCCCTGAGTTGCCACAGAAACGTGAGATGGGTATTCAGTGTAGCTTGTCACCCTGTCAAGGGCCCTGTCGGGCTGCGGGACACCAGCACACATCTGGGAAGAGGTTGGGATATTCCGAGTGAAGGGGTCGAGAGGTCCGGGGACCCCGTGCAAAACATGCAAGCACGACCTTGGAGGTTTCGGAGGCTTGGGACGGGTAGAGGAGGAGGTTGTTGAGGAGGGATGCGGAGGGTGTAGGAGGAGGCCGACTCTGCGCCCGAGCCCATTTGGCCGCCGAGCGGACTCAGGATCGAGTCCACTCGGAGGCCGAGAATCTCCAGTTCCCATCCACATTTTGGAATCGAGGCCAGTCGGCTGCCCATCCAACGGCCAAACGGTCTCGAACACAGAGCAGTCTCGGGAGAGCACTCCGAGGCCCCTTCCATCCCTTACCTCTATCCTTCGTCCCCGTCTCCTCTACATGTCCCCGCTCTCATGGACAGCGAGGCGGCTTTGCAGCTGCTCTTCGGCGGGAGTCGATCAGCACGTGCGCCAGCCCGTTCCAAGAGTACCGCCCATAACACAGTTCTCGCGCCGGCAGTCGCCAGGCTGGTGAGAACGGTGCGCACCAGTGGAAAAGTGGATGGAGTGCCCGCCTCGATCCATCTTCTCTCTATTGCCTACTTGTGTCTACTCATCCCCCCTCTCTCTCTTCCCATCCCGCCCTCCCTCCTCTCTCATCCCTCTTTCTCTGTCTCCTCACCCTGATCATTCGTCCTCCTCTCCCCTCCTCTCCCCTCCCTCCTTACTTCTCCCTCCTGCTGTCCGTGCGTGCTCGACGCAAAGGGGACCGAACTAGAACCAACCGGCGCGACCGGCGCGACCGGCGCGACCGGCACCGGCGCGACCAGCGCGATTGCGACCGGCGCGACCGGCGCGACCGGCGCAACCGGCGCGACCGGCACCGGCGCGACCGGCGCGACCGGCGCGACCGGCACCGGCGACCGGCGCGACCGGCGCGACCGGCGCGACCGGCGCACCCGGCGCGACCGGCGCGACCGGCGCGACCGGCACAACCGGCTCGACCGGCGCGACCGGCACCGGCGCGACCGGCGCGACCGGCACGATCAGCACGACCGGCGCGACCGGCGCGACCGGCGCGCCCGGCGCGCCCGGTTGGGGGCCTCCGGGGGGCCTCTTGGGGCCATCTTGGGGCCTCTTGGTGCCTCCTGGGCGCTTCGGGGGGCCATCTTGGAGGGCATGGATCCAAGAAGAGGGGAGCTTTAATGAGCGCTGCTCCCTCGGAAGGGCAAAATGAGCCCAAAACCTTAGTAAAATCAATAATATTGCCTTGACGGGAGGGGGGAGCTTGCATGAGCGCTGCCCCCTCAGAAGGGCCAAATGGAGCCAAAACCGTAGTAAAATCAATGTTTTTGGCTTCAAGGAAGAGGAGGGTACCTTATCTCCGTCCCCCCGTCGGGGCCAGAATCCTCGTGAGGGGTGTCGTTTTTTAGCCCTCCGAGGAGTCGAAAAAGACCCCCCCGGCGACCCGCGGAACACCCCCTCCAGGCCCAGGGGGAGGGGGTAGGGGGAGGGGTAAACCCCTCCCCGAAGGGGAAGAAGGGGGGTTGAGGACAGAGAGAGCTCGCTGAACCACTCACGCCCAAAGGGCTGGTGGGATTTGAGGATGTCTCGAGCGAAACGCTTGTTTTTCAGAATTTGTTGAGGATGTCTCGAGCGAAACGCTTGTTTTGTGTTATAGATTGTCCTCTCCTGGGGGCCTGAATTCTGAGGATCTCTCAAGTGGATTCGTGCCCTGGTCTTGAGGATGCCTCGAGCGAGACGCTTGGTTTCACGCCTCCAGGTGGCCCAGACAGATGTCTAGCATGAGGATTTGTTGAGGATGTCTCGAACCAGAGGCTTGTTTTCACGTGTCCAGGTCGCCCAGGCGGATGTCTAACATGAGCATTTGTTGAGGATGTCTCGAGCGAGACGCTTTGTTTGCACGTGTCCAGGTTGCCCAAGCGGATGTCTAGCATGAGGATGTGCTGACAACGTCTTGAGCGAAACGCGTGTTTTCACGTGTCCAGGTCGCCCAGGCACAGCACAGCCCTCGGCACGGTACATCAATATCGATACCTTTAGCATTGCAGCCTGGCATGTTGCTTGGCACGTTCCGCGGAGCGTCCCGTGGCGAGTCCCCCTGGCACGTCGCGCGGTGCACGTCCATTGGCACGTTCCGTAGCGCGTCCCCTTGGCACGTCCCACGGTGCGTGCCCATGGCACGTCCCCTGGCACGTCCCCTGGCGCGTCCCTTGGGACGTTCCGCGGCGCGTCCTCTTGGCATGTTCCCTCTGTCGATTAGTTCTGGGGCAGCTACCATCTGCTCAGGCAGCTCGAGCTTACGATCCAGATCAGTTCGGTGAGGACTCGGATGCCAGGGAGGACTCGATCCACAACGCTATATCTATATCTATAGAGAGAGAGAGAGAGAGAGAGCACAATCGCGGCATGACGCATCGCAGTTCAGCACGGCCCAGCACAGCACAGCCGTCGGCACGGTACATCAATATCGATACACTCAACTATACACTTTGGCACGAGAGAGAGAGAGCACAATCGCGGCATGACGCATCGCAGTTCAGCACGGCCCAGCACAGCACAGCCGTCGGCACGGTACATCAATATCGATACACTCAACTATACACTTTGGCACGTTCCTTGGCGCGTTCCGTGGCGAGTCCACCTGGCACGTCGCGCGGCGCGTCCCATGGCACGTCCCTCGGCACGTCCATTGGCACGTTCCGTAGCGCGTCCCCTTGGCACGTCCCACGGTGCGTCCCCATGGCACGTCCCCTGGCACGTCGCCTGGCGCGTCCCTTGGGACGTTCCGCGGCGCGTCCTCTTGGCATGTTCCCTCTGTCGATTAATTCTGGGGCAGCTACCATCCTGAGCAGCTCGAGCTTACGCTCCAGATCAGTTCGGTGAGGACTCGGATGCCAGGGAGGACTCGATCCACAACGCTATATAGAAAACAATCGCGGCATGGCACATCGCAGTTCAGCACGGCGTAGCACAGCACAGCCCTCGGCACAGTACATCATCATCGATACATTTAGCATTGCATGTGCCCGTCGCCCAATCAGGTGTCTTTGAAATGTTACAATGCCTTACATTTCTATATTCCTTTCCGGGTTCGTGGGTCGATCATGTTCTACTGCGCTGTCCCAGCGCGTTGGGCTGCCACGAGGCAGATCCTGCAGGACCAAGATTCAGCTGCGCGTGAGAGCGACCCTTCGCCAAATTGACCTTTGGTGCGGGCCCACCAGGGCTCCCTCAGGCACTGGCCCACGCGCTTGGATCTGGCCCCCTCCCTCCCCCGCAGCCCCCCCCCCAAGCTGCACACCAAAGGTCACCCCTACCTGCAGGGCCACGCCCTCCGTGCCACCGAGAGCTCATGGCAGCGTCTCCTTTCCCGATCCGCCCCAGGTTCTCCAGACACACATACCGCTACCCTTGCCTCGTTTGCGCCTCGTTGGGCCTCCTGGGAGGCCCTCGTCGCCACCGCTGGATTCGCCTCGGGAGTCTGGTCAGAAGGCACCCCAGGAGAGGGCCATGAAGCATCGGTATCGATACCGTCTGGTGCCTCAAATATCTTGCATGCCTCGCCCTGATGAGATTGGTAAGAGCGGTTTTCACAATCGTTGGCCACGATATGTTGGGGGGTCACGGCATTGTTGTGAGGTGTACGTTGATTTACCTCTCTCCTTCTTGTTCTATCTTCGAGTCGGCGACTACGAGGCGTCGGCGACTACGAGGCGTAGCTCGCGACGCACACATTCGAGATCCGATGTCAAAAAGGTTGCTCCTAATGTGGTTTCCTCGCTCTCGGCCCTCCTTTCCCCCTCCTCCATTCCTGCCCCCGCGGCCTCTCGCGTTTAATTTTGACGAGGGCCGGCAGAAGTCTCCACGGGCATGCTCCCGCAGAAAGGCACTCGGGATTACACGCACGCCCGAGCTGCTCAAGCATGTCGTTTTCCCCGCCGCTGCGTTCGCAGAAAGGCACCCGGGGTTGCACGCACACCCGGGCTGCTGACGCAGTTTTTCTGTTTACTCGACGCTTCCGCGCGCCATCCGCTGCAGGGCGGGGTGCGGCCGGGGACTTTTCCAGCGCCTTCTGCATGCGACTTCCGCACGCAGTACCGCATCGTTTCCTCTTGCTCCTCCCGCGGCGGTGCGCGCCGGCGCAGCCGACGGGCCGGCCCGGCGATGCGTCGGCGACTACGAGGCGTAGCTCGCGACGCACACATTCGAGATCCGATGTCAAAAAGGTTGCTCCTGATGTGGTATCCTCGCTCTCGGCCCTCCTTTCCCCCTCCTCCATTCCTGCCCCCGCGGCCTCTCGTGTTCTTCATTTTGACTAAGGCCGGCAGGAGTCTGCCCGGGCATCCCCCCCGCAGAAAGGCACGACATCACGACATCACGTCCTCATGACACCTCCCATGGGGCACCTACATGGCAAGTGCGATCTCTGTGATGGTGTCGCAACCGACCTCACTTACACACTACACCACGCCGCACCGCACCGCACCGCACCGCACCACACCGCACCGCACACACACACGCACACACACACACACACACACACACACCACACCACACCACACACACGCACACACCACACCACACACCACGCCACACAACATCACGCCACATCACACCGTACCCCACACCACGCCACGCCACGCCACGAGATCATGACACCACCCACGGGACACGACGGGAGAGCGACATGACGACTGTGATGTCTGTGTTGATATCACAATCGACGCGCCGCTGGCGCAGCCGGCGCCGCTGGCGCAGCCGGCGCAGCCGGCGCAACCAGCGCGACCGGCGCGACCGGCGCGACCGGCGCAACCGGCGCAACCGGCGCGACCGGCGCAGCTGGCGCAGCCGGCGCGACCGGCGCGACCGGCGCGACCGGCGCGACCGGCGCGACCGGCGCAACCGGCGCGACCGGCGCAGCCGGCGCAACCGGCGCGACCGGCGCGACCGGCGCGACCGGCGCGACCGGCGCGACCGGCGCAACCGGCGCGACCGGCGCGACCGGCGCGACCGGCTCCGGTTCCAGATCAGCCTCTTCTCGCTCGACGAGGCGCCTGGAGTCGTCGCGGCAATGTGTTGGGGCCCACCTAGGCCCTGTCTCGTGTGGTGTTGCCGTCGCCCCAGAGGTCTCGTGGGCCCGCGGCCTGCCCGTGTGCACGTAGTTTCTTTCCGTGTCCGCAAGTCTTTGGCCAAGGCTACGTGCTGGTGTTCTCGCGATGAGGTGTGTTTCCGAGGAGTCGTCTTTTGCCCCCTCATGCTGCATTTGCCTCAGACGTCCTGCAGATCCTCGACATTAGTTGTGCGGTCCCGATGTCCTGTCTTCGTCGCCATCTGTTTGCTGTCCTCAGAGTGTCCTCGCCGCTCGACTTTCGTAAGAGTTTGTTTTCGGTTCATGTCCTGCTTGTAAGTTTGCATGCTGCGGTTCCGTTCTGTCCATGGCGTGTTTCATCCAGCTTCGGGGCTGCCGCCTTTCAGATCCATTTCAGCGAGTGCTTGACCATAAAGTGTCATGGATTTGCGTCGAGGTGCGAGCGACGTAGAGAAATTGTGCCGACAGCGTGGCCACTGGCGCGCTAGCTGACCGTTTAAGGTCGCGCGTGAGCGCACTCCTCTTCACACGGTGGGCCGCGATAAGGGCTTGCGGAAGCTACCTCTCCAGGTCGTGCCGTCGCAGAAAATCATGTATGGGTCTTTCACGTGAAGTTTGCATCCTCGCCCTCTCACGCTCCCAACCGCCATCGTCGCCGCCGCCGCCCGACGACGACAATGGCGAAGTTTGCCGAGACGCCGACGCCAACGGCTGCGGCGACTTGGCGGCGACGATGACGACGACTTAGGCGACGGCCCTGGCGGCCGCGAGCGACAACGGCGACGGCGACAACGGCCGCACGACGACGAGAACGGCGACGACGGAGGACATACGATTGATGACCGATGACGTTGACGACGATGATGACGATGACGACGACGACGACGACGACGACGACGACGACGACGACGACGACGACGACCGCTTGCGACGAGGAGGACGGCGACCACGGCGGCAACGACGGCGGCGGCGACACCCCGAGTGCCCCCATGGCCAGCGCGAGACTGGAAACCAGGAGGCAGAGAAGGAGGCGCGGGTGGGAGAGGAAGGAGGGGGAGGAGGAGGAGGAGGAGGAGGAGGAGGAGGAGGCAGGATAGGGAGGAGGAGGACGATTTCGAGGAGGAGGACCAGGAGCAGGAGTAGGAGCAGGAGCACGAGCAGGGTGACTGCGCCAGGGAGTGGCGGCGCTTCTGCCGCTTGGTGGGCCACTCGGGCGTCTCCAAGCACGCCGAGATGGCTGCGATCACGGCGCTCTGCGCAAAGGTTGTCGGGGCTCTTGGGTGCGGGAGGAGGAGGGGAAGGAGGACGAGGAGGAGGAGGCTGAGGAGGATACTCAAGGATTCAACAAATAGGATGACGAAATAGAAAGAACACATGAGGATTGACGCCATCGCCGTTGTCCCCGTGGGAGGAGGAAGAGGAGGAGGAGGAGGAGGAGGAGGAGGAGGAGGAGGGAGATGGAGGAGCGGCAGGGAATGTTGATTGCCCGTGCCTCTTCCTTCCGCCCTCGCCCGTCGTGTCGGCTTGGCGGTCTGAGGCGAGACGGGGGGGGGGAAACACCGCTTTGCTTCAGCGGCGGCCTTGTGGCTTCCGACAACACAAGCATATGTTGGCAATGGGGCTCTCGATGGCGCGAAAATATGTGCGCTTCGCGCGGGGGGGGGGGGCACGAGAGCGCGAATTGATTCGCGCTTCTCATTTTGTGCAGTTCGGAGCGCGAAGTTTGGCGCCCTTGGTTAGAAAGCATGGACCCCGAGCAGTGCGTTATTGCATCGTGTAGAGGTGTGATATACGTATGTTCTTTGAGATGCCTGATAAATGCTGGGTCGTGTAAGCTACGTGGTGCGAGCTGGTGGCAGCTTCCTCTTAAGGGACTCTCGCGCAAGACCCGCCTGTGATCGTTCACGGCCCTGGACGGGGCGCGGGGTATGCCGCCTGCCCTCCCCGGCCGAACCTTCAAAGACGCGCGTCTTCTCCCAACTTGGGCAGTGTCTTTTCAAAATCGCACGTGAATGACTCTTCTTCCTGACTTTCCTCCCCCGCCCTCCTCATCCTCCCTCCTCTCTCCTTTCTCCTCCCTCCTCTTCTTGACCCCCTGCTCATCCTCCTTCCCCCCCTCCCTCTCTTCTATCATATCATCCATCCTGTTCCTTTGCTCCCTCCTTCTTTCACCCCCCTTATCCCCACTCATCCGGAATTCCCCTTCTCATCCTCCATCCTCCTTCGGTTTCATTCCTCCCCCCCTCCCCTCTCCTCTCTCCTCCCTCATCCCCCTCTTCACTCCTTCCCCCCCCTGTCGTCCTCCCTCATCCCTCGGCCTCAGCCTCACCCCTTCCCTACCACCCCCCTCCTCCTCCTCCTCCTGCTCCTCCTCCTCCTCCTCCTCTCCTCCTCCTCCTCCGCTCCTCTCCTCCTCCTCCTCCTCCTCCTCCTCCTCCTCCTCCTCCTCCTCCTCCTCCTCCTCCTCCTCCTCCTCCTCCTCCTCCTCCCTCCTCCTCTCCTCCTCCTCCTCCTCCTCCTCCTCCTCCTCGGTCGGTCGGTCGGTCGATGAAGGCCTCTGAGTCACGCGGCCTATCAAAGGGCAAGAACAGCCAGTGCGGCGACGAGGGACCCCAGGGAGCCCGAGACCCAAGACGCCCGGACAGCTCCCAGGCCGACGCACCCACCCAAGAGGGGAGACGCAGGGGAGGAAGAAAGAAGACCAGGAGAGGAGGAGCCCGCAGGGGGGGTGCGTAGGCCCAGTCCCCGCCCACCCCCAGAGCCCGCCCACGCAGAGGGCACCAAGGATTTCGAGCCACGCCCAGCAGCACTCGTGGCGCCCCTCACCTCTGCGTCGCTGTCCGCTCGTCCTGCCGAGCCTCGGGCGCAGCTGCCGAGCCACTCCCGCGGCATGCCCGCTGCCCCGCGTCTGCCTTTCTTGCCCCTCTGGGCCTGGGCCAGGCTCAGCCGTCAGCTGCCTGCTGGTGCCTGCTCGCTCAGCGTGGTCGTCCTGTGGCGAACTGCGGCGCGAGCTGCACCACGTACGCTCCGTCGGGGCCCCTGACGATCTCAACCCTGTTGGACCAGTTCGTGAGGAAGGTCACGATGTCCGCTTCGCCCACGTGCCGCACGTCGAGGGGCAGCCTCCACTGGGCCTCGAAATCCTCCTCGAGGTTGGCTAACGTAGCTGGCCCTCTGCCTGCAGCCATCCGGTCCGCCAGAACGCGTACCACTCTCTGCTCCAACATCCCGGCCATCGCGGCGTGCTCCTCGGGGCGCGAGCTCGCCGTGCCAAGGGCCGCGCGCTCCTCTGGCGCCTCAGCTTCCTCGAAGGCCTCGGCACCCTTGTCCTTCTCAACGGCACTCTCTGCCGAGGGGCACGAGCTGCTCCCAACAGACTGCGCCCTGTTCGGGACGGGCGTGCCGCGCCTGCGCCGGAGGGTGGAGCGCTCGCCGTACTCCCCGGAGAGAGTGTCCATCGTCCGCGATTGCTTATCCCGCGGTGGCGCTGTGGGTGCGGGAGGTTCCCATGGCTGCTGCATCCAGGGTGGCGGCGTCCAGGGCGGCGGAGCGCGGCTCGGAGCTGCCTGCGTCGGCGCCCAACCTGCGTCTGGCCCTTGAGCGGCAAGACCAGCTTGAGGCTCAGCGTGCTCGGTGGCCTCGTGGAGCGCCCGCGCCGCTGCCTGGCCAGTGAGGTCGGGCCTCGCCGGGGCCGCGGCAGCTCCGTCCGGATCCCAGTCCGCTCCGTTGCCTCCGCTACCGGCTGCCAAGGGCGCCGAGCCAGAGGGCGCGACCGCGCCGAGGGCCTCCGCCAGCGCTTTTCCGAGGCGCGTGGGGCGGCAGCCCCGGTGGCCGAGGTCCCGGAAGGCGCGTAGCAGCTCTTGAGCCGCGCGCGCCTGCTTGCGCCCCGCCTGGGCACGGCGTTCGGCTGCCGAGCGCCGCGGCCGCTGCGGCTGGCCTGCCGCGGCGCACCAGGGCGGCGCCGCCATCCCGCGGCCGGGGAGGGAGGGGGGCGCAGGGCGAGGAGAGCTCTGGGGGCAGCGGCCGAGGGGGCCGCCTGGCGCGGTCTCGCGGGCCGCACCAGGCGGCGGCCCGGGCCGAGTTGGCGCTCTCCTCCTCCTCCTCCTCCCCCTCCTCCTCCTCCGCCTCCTCCTCCTCCTCCTCCTCCTCCTCCTCCTCCTCCTCTCCTGCCCCTTCCCCTTTCCCCCGACCCTCGATCCTCGCTCCTGGACCCTCCAACGACGGCGAGGAGGACGCCCCCCCATTGCTTCGGCGGCAGTCAGGGCCGCGCGGGATCCCGGAAGTCGGCGGGGAGTTCTGTGGAGGTCTCCCGGGAAATCTAGGAGGAGTCCCAAAGTTGCCCGACAGGAGGCTGCGCGCAGTGGTGACCGTTCGCCAGAGTGGCCTTCGGTGCGGGCGCCCCGGGGTCCCCAGATGGCTGAGAGAGGGGCGCGATAGCAGGGGCTTCGCGCGCTCGGGTGAGGCCCCCCTGCGCCCCCCCCCACCCCCCCAAGTGCCGCGCGCCCCAGGTCACTCTTGCCCATAGGGTCACGCCTGCGCGCAGCCGAAACAGGAGCAGGGAAGGCGTCGGAAAGCTGCGGCGCTCGATCCTCGATCCCTGGTCCTCGAGTCTCGATCGGACGGCGTTCGGTCGCAAATCACGGCGGTCTTTCTATATCCTCGTAACTACCTCTTTAGAGTGCGTTAGCGTCGATCAGCGCCGGGTAATCGACGGGATAGCACCGATTTAGCGTGGATTAGCGGCGTTGGTTCGCAAGAGCCAACAAGCTGGCATGGGAGGCTCCCACGAATTGCCCTGGAAGGCGGCGAGGAGGTCCCCTGGAGGGGGACGTTGTCGTCGATCTCCGAATCTCGCTCATCCCTCGACCTCCCGATCCGTCGATCCCTCGTTCCTCTCGATGCCCGAAAGGTTGGCGAGGAGACCGACACGTTTTCCTACAGGCGCGAAGGAAACCCTGTGATTCGGCGGAAGAGGGGGGGTGACACAGAGGAGGAGTGGGGAGGGGGGGAAGCGCGCTACTGGTCCTTCCTGAGATTCACGCTGCGACAAAAATCGGTTCCTCGTAGATCCGACCCCTGGGCCCCATACTGCTGCTCCATGTTTTCATCGGACTCGATCTCGGAGGGCCCCGGCGGCCCGAACAACTGGAGCAACAGGGTGGATCTGAGGGTCCGGCTGCGCTGCCAGCGACGCGATCAGCCGGCGCGCCTGACGGTGCCCCTGGTGGTCCGTCGGTGCACACTTCGGCTCTCCGGCGGCCGCCCAGGACGATTTGGGCTGCCCAGGAACGTTGTCGGCGAGGCGCAGCTGCGGGAGAGCATCCTGGGGCTGGAACGCCGCCAAAAATCGAGCAAAAAGTACGAGAGCTCCGAATCGGCGCCACCCCGTCGTACTAATACTATGTGTGCGTCGCCCCCCAGGGGCGTCGCGCGCGCCGAGAACTCTTCTAGTATATGCTTGGTGGCGGACGCTTTCTGGCCACACCGCTCGGGAAACGATATACCTCAATATGGTTATACTAGTTGTTCAGATCGGGCGCGCTCCTCCGAGGAGGACACACTACTGGTGCGCCCTTCTGGTCGCATCGGACCTCTGCGCTCGCAGCCCTCCCCCGCGGCGCAGCCATCCCCCCACCCCGCGGCGACAGGGGCCTCCAGTCCGCCAGCGACGGCTCACACTCGTGGTCGTGCGGTTCCGCGCCGCCGCGGTCGCGGGCGCGGCCGCCTGTGCGGGGCACGGAGGGCGCGCCGCCCGCCGCCGCCGCCGCCGCCGCCGCCGCCCGCCGCCGCCGCCGCCGCCGCCGCCGCCGCCGCCGCCGCCGCCGCCGCCGCCGTCGTCGTCGTCGTCGTCGTCGTCGTCGTCGTCGTCGTCGTCGTCGTCGTCGTCGTCGTCGTCCGTCGTCGTCGTCGTCGTCGTCGTCGTCGTCGTCGTCTCTCGGCGTGCTCCGAGACTCCCAAGGGACCCATCAGGCGGCACTTCCTGGCCTGCACCTGCTCCTCCTCCTCCTCCTCCTCCTCCTCCTTCTCCTCTTCCTCCTGGCCCACAGCGACACATGCACACGGCTAACCAGGGTTGGTCCAACCTCTGTACCCAAATTTCGTTTCTAACTGTCTCGTTTTCTTCCTTTTGCGATCGGATGGGTGTCGTTCTGGTTGTGCTCATGTCGAATGTTCTCCGGGTCCTGGGCTACACCCGCATGTTTGCTACAGGAAATAGATTGCTGGAAATGATTGATGGAATTCGCAATTCCGACATATTGTTTCTTGCGGGGGCGCGGGTGGGGACCCCGTTGCGCGGCGCCCAGACGCTTCGGGGGCGAAGCGGCGGCAGGCTGGTGTTCGAGGCCCCCCAAATTGCAGCGGCACCGACCTCCACCCTTCATTGTGGAATTAAGATGGCTGTGGGACTCCACTCTGGGGGGGGGGTCCTGAACCGAAGATGGGTCGAACCCTTACGGTTCCCATTGAGCATGGCCCCGCCGAGTTTTGCGCCATTTGTGTTATATGTTCAACCTGCCCCCGCTAAGTGAAGCAAGGCCGCACGTACCTCGTGTTTCAAAACGGTTGTTCTCACCCGGTTGACTGCTTGATTTGGTTTTTTTTGCGATCGAATTGCCCGTTGCGTACCGATGTTGGCTGACGGCGTGGGTGAACATAATGAAAATGGGGTGTATGAGAAGATTCCGACGAGCGTGGTTACTGTTGCTCTGTTGCTACGCTCGAGTGTCTACCTGGCGGGGCGGGTGCACGCCTTTGTGCAACAACTAACCTAAAAACGCCACGTGATCGCTGGGATTGTCCAGCAGAGCGCCGAGCGCGCTCTCGGTAATAGCCAGTCAAGCTGTATCGGTTTTGTATGTCATCCCCAGGCGTTGGCACATCTTGCGGGCCATTGTCATCCATTCAGCCTATAAGGGGAGCCCCATCCACGGGATCGCCTAGCAGTTGTACTGAGTCTGGAATTCAAAAAGCGTGAGCTGATTCGTCCAGCGGGTGATAAGGCTCGGTGGAATGGCGATGCGATGAGGGAAGGACCTCTGGCAGGCAGGGGCCCAGGGGAGTTTTTTGGTTTCGATCAGTCAAGCAGGATCTTCAGGAGGCTGGTTTGCTTTACTTCCGTCTTCACGTGTGTCCGGGAGGAGGAGGATGAGAAGGAGGAGGACGACGAGGAGGAGGACGAGGAGGAGCCCCCGTCGATCGTTCAATGCTTCCCCGCCTCAACTCCAGAAGGATCGTCGGCAATGTCTGCGTCATTGTTGTGCCATCTTGCTCGGTTGGTGTGACTGGAGACGTACTGCTGAGGCAATGAGAGCCTACCGTCGTGCTGCCCGTTGTCGGTTAGGACCGACACGTCACGACGCACGATTGGCCACCGGTGCGCCTCCTGATGCTGAGGACTGGTTTCGCGCAGTGGGCGGAATGCTTGGGAGGAGTGGAGGCCTGAGAGAGAGGACGAGGCTTCTGAGTATGAGTTCGTCGACCCCGAGCTCACTTCCTTGGAGAAGTAGGACCTCCATGGCCTTCGATCCAACCTTCGGGACGCGCCCAAGAGGCGCGCGGTGCCAGATCGCGCGGCTCCTCTGTAACTTTGGGCATCTGCGTCTCATTCCGAAATTGAAAATGCAGCAGAGTATGTGAGTGGGCGCCAGCGGGGACCCCTTAATATGAAAGTTTCGTGGTCCCTTTTGCACGTAGGAGTCCCGGAAGTCGGAAAGCACGAGACTACCCCCTCGGGTTGGCATCGTACTTAGATTATGGCGCCCCCGAAGTCTTTGTTGGTTGGCCCTTTGGGCAAACGCGTCGCGCGCGTGCTATAAGTGGTGGGGGAGGTTCACTACCCGAAGAAGATGAAACCATGTCCCACGGTTCAGGATCATGGGTGGGTACGGAGGTGTCGAAAAGAGATTGTTGTACCCATCCCTAATCGTACAATGTGCGTACAATGTGGCGATTACGTCGGCCACTGGATGCCACTGTATATTTGCGGAAGGTATGCAGAATGGCTTTCGAGCGATATTCCCGAGTATAGAGACATTGTTGTTGGGAAACACTGCGCAGACCACGATGGTGAAGCTCGTCGTCAGCGCCATCGTCACTCGGTGATCGAGCCCCCGACATGCGGCGCCCAATGCGCGGCGCAGCCTCGGCGACGAGGCACGAGGGGTGATCTGTGCATCCCCGCCATGTTTCTAGCCGCCTATGCGAGGCCGATCTTGGAACGGGGCGTCGAATTCTGGAGCCCGGGCCCGCGCGCAGATGATCCCGTCGCACAGTGGGGTGACATTAGGGGGGGGGGGGGGGGGGGGGCGAGGCTCTCGCCGATTACGTACTCCGACGACTTGAGTGAGGTTCTTCTAACTGGCTGCGGTCTTTCACTGGGTGAGTTTATTGCGGAGATAGGAATTCCAGATGATATTATGCACCGCAAGTTGGGCCTCTTCGATTCCGGCCAGGATCTGGGGGAACAGCGGTTCCTCTTCCACTTCTCGAGCTGCTCGCGCGCCCAAGGATGAGGCTCGGCATCGGGGCCCGTTGTTCGCGCAGCGTGAGACGGCTACTCGCGGGATCGGGAAGCGACCTACCGCCGCCAGAAGCGCGTTTTATGATTATGGTTGCGTTCGCTCGCTACCCTTGCCGAGTGCGTGGAAGATAGTGAGACTCTTGGGTTGTTCTCGGAGTGCTATCCCGAGAGGACTGGTGTCTTGTGCTTCATCGAAGGTGAACCGTGATCGACTTGGCCAGGGTCTGGCAGCGGTGGCTGGGATAGCCGCGCCGGGCAGAGCATATGAGCGGGATGTTGTGGGCGAGAAGGGGTAGTGAGGGGCGTGGGCGATATGCGCGTCTTAGCCCGCTGGAACGCGGCCCCTTTGCAAGCGTCGAAATGCATGTCCGTCGTCTCGCGACGTGCCAGGCCGGTCGCGGGGCCCCGAGAACAGGGCCCAGGTGCTGCGCAGTTCGTTGGGCGATGTGCGCGCGACCGCGGGTCGACCCCGGCTGCTGAATGGCAGGCCGTGCGAGTTTGTTCCGCCATATGTCAGACAGGTTCACCGCTGCGCGGAGCTGGCCTCGATCTTATTGGGCGAGGAATGCTTCGATGAGTCGGCAGAAGTGTCCGTGTCGCTCGATTTCTCGGCACTCATAGCACGAGGGCCTTCGGCGGCAATCCCCCCCCCCAGTCCCCAGTAGGGGCACCGCGCATTTCATCGATCATCTACCAGACACGAGTTCTCACTTTATTGCGCCGATGCGCCCATGGCAATCGACGCAGATGAGCTCGCCGAACACGTCGTCGAGCCGATGTTCGCATGTGAGCTCGAGATTGAAGGTGAGCAGTGCGTGGCTGAGTTTTTCAACCGTCGGGGCAGTTTGAATCGTCTCCGTCGAGCCCACCGCGTCCGACACCAACCGCCCGCTGACGGCCCGCGACATCTGCGCGCGCGACGAGCAGGCGCCCGCCAGCGCTTCCAACGCGGGCAGGCAGCTTCAAGGCTCCATCTCCAGAGGACACTGTTTAACATGTGGGCCCTTCACGATGAATGCAGTCACGGATGCCCCGTCGTCGTTTACGTGTCTGTGCTGCGCCTATTCGTTCTCGGGTCTTCGCTATCTGCGTGATCACTCGCGCAGTCATCTACCGGTACCGGTGGCGCTCGCTCCGTCTGTCCGTGCTTCTACGCTGCATCCCCCGAGAGCCGATGGAGGAGTTATCTTTCCCGCCGCGGCCCGGGGCAGCAGAAACAGGGGGGGAATGGGCCCGAGGGAGACCCGTCCACGGCCGACAGGGCTGAAACCGAGAAAGGGAAACAGCCAACACTTTCAGAGACACCAGCCAAGGAGCCCCGCATGTCATAGGACGCGCTCGCCCTCCTCGCCCTCAGCAACAGCAAAGCTTTCGCAGCCCTGGCGCTCGGCGTCTTTCTCGAGGTGGAATTACCTCATTAGGCGTTGTCTGGCAGTCGCCAGTCTGCAGGCGGGCAGACAGCACGACGAAGTTTTTCAGGAGCTGCGGAAGCGAATGAAAGAGGGGGGGGGTCGAGATGGAGAAGGGGGCCAGGAGAGGGCTGCTCGACCGTGGACCTTCACGCGTTCACACCCATCCAGCAGTAGTTTCCTGCGGGGCCACGCGCAGCCCCGAAGCAGCGACAGGAGAGCGGCTGAACATGAAGAATACGAAGAAGAAACACAAAACGTTCACCGCGCAGAGTTCAGACAGATATGGGAGAGAAGGGCGAAGCGGATCCCGATGGGAAAGCTGGCTCGTTCCGCATGAATGGCTGGGTGAAAAGCCACAAAGGAGGGGGGGGGCAGGTTCAGAAAGCGATCGTGATGATTTCAACGCGGAGATGGAGGTCGGGAAGAATCTGGCGGATCTGCTCGAACAACTGCTGCAGATGGAACGGCGTCGTCTTCTCGGAGGCGGCGGCAACCAGGGGCCCGTTGGGGCGCGAAATGTCCAGATAGTTCGGCCGCAGAGAGCAACGACCGCCTTCCATCCAGAGTTCGGGTCTTTCCCGTGAGCTTGTATCCCGTGGAGTAGGGAAACCGAGTTTCTTAGACAGTATGTGCAGTGAGGTCAATGTGTAAAGTCGTCCCCTTTCCGTGCCAGTCCAGTGGTCGTGATGCGCCTGTTTGTTTCGGAAAGGGGGACGGGCTCGAGGTCGGAGTGGTCGGGGTCGTGGGTCGTGGGGCGGGAAAGGGGGAACGCGAACCGCGCGCCCGGGAGCCAGCCCTATGCGAGTGTTT